ATGATGTGGATTTTTAGCATGTTGATTAACTTTGAAGGGAATCTGTTCCTCCCACTGGCAGCAAAAGTCCTGCTGCAAAATCTGTGTTGCTTAGCTGCGATGTTATCTGTTTCCTTGAATGGGGAGGCGATGAGCTAAGTTGTGGGTTCCGTGAATTGAAATATTTGATGCTGCAAAATTCAAGGGGTCTCTACTGTGATAAGATAAATGCCACATAAGCAGGAGATATAAATTTGAATTCCTTTCTGCAAACAAATCATCGTCCAAATGCCACTCTTACTCTAAATTCAGATTTTAATTATAGACACAGCCAACATTACCGTAAAAGACGTGAGTTTGCAGAACAGGCTGGATATTTTCACGGATTGGGAATTCCACACTCCTGTTTCAACCACAGTGTTTGCGCCATACTGCAACTTCCCAAAACCTGATAAAGGTATCTAAGTAAATGTTTTTAGAAATCTTAACACCAGCTTCTAAGTCCTAATGTCATAATGCGTTTGATGACAGATGAAGTCGATGTGCAGACGTCATTTCCACTCTCTCACTTTGTCAAGGGCCAAGAGTCCTTTGAACTAGCTTTTGCAATTGGTGGAGCAGATAGCAATGGAACGGTAAATCAAATTCTTTATTTTTATTTGTCCTTGTGCTCGTACTCTTACAAACTGGCCTTTAACGGGAATAATCTCAAATGATTAAGATGTAAATGACGCACAATTATTTTATATAGACTCATTTTGGTGTGAACGGAGAGCGGGCCTGTGAATGGAGGGGACATAAACTCGTGCAAAACATCACCGATCTTTGCAGTGAGTACGACACAATCAAGATTAAGAAAGAGTTCTATGTATTTGTGGCTTTGTGAAAGGTGCATTTCAGCCAACTCATTTTGGAGTAAAATAAAATAAACCCATTTTCAAACACTTTGATGACCGAGTTTCCACCGCCCCTTTAGGACCACATTCCCATTTACGACACTTTGAAGCGTTTTTACTGAGCTTTCATTACTATTTTATTTTGCAGCTGACATGGAGATAAACAGAACTTCGGATTTGCGGGTTTTTCGCATAACTTTGCCTACAACATCCGATGAGCCATATGCCAGCTTCGGTTGGGGTCACTACAATTCATTTTTGACGGTGACCGTGGATTTTACCCAAAATGGTGAGTTGACGAATTACGCATTTGCAATTATGCCAACTGTAGTCAGAAACACAAATCAGTTCTTCTCTCTTGACCAACTCATATTGAGGGCTAACAACCTTGTCTGG